AAAATTTCATTGCAGCATCTTAGGTGACTGGGGCGCGTCTTAGGAATGCCTGAGCAACGTCTGTAATACTGTACACTATTTGCAGACATCGATCTGGGCTGGAAGAAACAAGTGGGCATGCTATGCCTTGGCGTAGAGGGTTAAAGAGATCGTGCTTGGGTCTGGTTCCCCGAACGGGGCCCCAAAGATTCAGGTTGTTTTTGACTGGAGACACTGCGGGATATGGCTTCGAACTAAAGTCAGTGGCGTGAATGCATTCTTTTTTGTGTGCAATCCCAAAAATAACGAAAAACTCAAAATCAAGCAAACAAAAAATGTCATTCCCCAAGTTGACTGACTTTTGTTTCCCTTTTTCCGTTTCTATATTTTGCGTATCTGTAAAGATTTTTAGTATATATATATATATTTATATATTTGGGTGGTGGTGGCACAGTGGTTTAGTCGCTGTCACCGGCGTGCCTTAGACCCCATGGTCCGAGGTTCGAGCCCCTCCACCGCCACCTGACTTTGGTGGTAGGCAGCTCTGCTGTCGTCCGGTTCAATAACACACCCAATCTATCGGGGCTTTATGTGGTTTACCACTCCAAGTCTCGGGGCTTCGGTTACCGGTTTCCATCACTGAACAACAGTTCCTCGTGATTATGGGGTTCCACCCCGTCTGCTGTTCATCACACGAAAGTGTTTAATAAAAAAAATATATATATGTGATGTTTGATGTTCAGTTGTTCGCCGAGCTTGGCGAAAGTGGCCATAAAACTGCGATCTGACCTACTACGGTTAAGGAATAAATAATGAGATAATTTCAAGTGTTTCTTCCAAAAATTTCGATGGAAATTTTAAACCTTTTGATTTTAATTTCAGGGCCCATGGCATTAGGATGCCGAAGAAGAATCGTCACACTCCTTCAAAACGACAACCCTCCACAAGCTTTACCGAAGAAAATTGTAGTAACATTTTGAACGTAACTGATCCGGACAACTCTAGCGATCCACCGAACATTGGTCATGCCTGTAATGCTGATGTGCATGGGTTCAGCGCGGTTTCCACTGACAAAGAAGCCGTAGCAGATATTGCGCTTAACAATGAAGCTTCTCAAGAGGAATTATTAAGCAGCGCAGTTGCAAATTCTGTGAGAAATGGCATTGAGGATCCTCCGAAAGACGATAGGCATTTAAGGTCATTGGGAAGAGTAAATCAACTGGCTCTTGTGAGCACAAAATCTGGTGCAGTTGCTGCAGTGTGTAATGGCGAATCGAGTGGAGATTCGTCAAGCAATCCAATTGACCAAGGGGCATCAAATACTGAATTGGATGAACAGCACACAATTTCAACCGACACCCAGAACGTAGAACGGGAACTGGTATCACCGAACTATTCCGCCTTACCACCAGTGCTAACAGGTGATTCTAATGAAAGCGGATCCTCTCAAGGTGACTGTTCCTTCACACCAGCACTCCAAACCATCTCCGTTTCCGAGACGAATAATGGTTCCAACTCAACCGATAACGGTGCTGTGGCGGCTGGGGGCTCGACATCTGATTGTGATGATTTGAAGCAACAGTTAAATCTAGTGTCTGTTCGATTGCTCAAGGCCCAAAACCAAATCGATCAGCTGTTGGAGGAAAAACGTTCATGGTTACAGCAGAATACTTCTTCTGCTCAGCAGTTGGCTGCTCCTGCCTTCGGGCTGGGTGAGTTACGCGGCCGATGGATGCAGGCGAAAAATCAGGCTGAAACGTACAAGAGGGAGAAAGAAGCAATGGTGATCAAATATGCACAGGTAAATGTTGGTATTCAGTACAATCCATCGTTGGTATCTTCCACTGTGAAGGGTCATTTCGCCTACACCGTACTTCTTTTTATGATTCCCTACTGTTTATTGTTTAAGGAATGTGCGAAACTGTAAGCGTTGTCGAGTGAAAGGACACAATTTCGCGCAACTCGCCTTATTCAGTTTGAAGACGAGCTGGTCTAAAGAAAGTAGGTAAAATATTTGATTGTGGGAGTTAGACGGATTTCGTTGGGTCCCGTATACGTTCAAAATGCATAAAAGAGTAATAAATAGTCGGAGACTTGATCCAAGGAAGGTGATGTGATTCCTGTGAATCCTTTGTGTGTTGACTTTGTTGTCTGGTTCTATCCTCGAATGCTCGCTCTTTTTATATACAATACTTAGGCTGCCTGTGCAACAGAGGCAATCATTTACGCGGTTGCACTGGAGCCTCAGCTAGGTTTTGTTATCTGATTTTTCACGCCAGTAAAGGCATGGAATGAAGAACGGTTATATATAAAATCATAACAGTGATTCTTCGAGAATTGTTTACCTCAATTCCCCTCCCCGAGCTACAAATGAGGTTTACCATGCATAATTGACATCGGGATTTCAAGTATAAGAATGACTAAACAGATTATCGGATACGCATACCCGGCGAGTGGCAAGGGCCGCGAAGCCGATCGTGTGCTTCTGGGAAATTTTGCCCAGTCATTCATATACTACGAATTATATATATGTTCCGCCTCGCATCAGAATTGATGTTCTTTCTTTAATGCCCAAAAATGTGTATTTATTAAAGACAAGGTCACTTTATTTTGGAATTTTTAGGATCGCGTGCTAGCACCGTGATTTGAGTACTTCCCCCTATACCTTTATACGCAAATACATTGCATTTATTTCTCGGTCCCATTGTGTGAAGTCTGAGCAAAAGCGTTTGGCGGCCGAAAATCGATTACAAGAGTTGGAACGTCGTTTGAGCCAGTCCGGGAACGGGTCGTCAAGCACAACAACGTCTAAGAGTTCTCCGATAAAGAACGCCAACTTGGCCACGTCCAACGCGGTTGATCTGCAAACTCGGCTTACACAAACGGAAAAGGTGAGTTGCAGTTTTGTCTCAGAGATTTGATATAGATCGTGTCGCTGTCCCCCAGGTCCATAACTTCCCTCATTCTATCCTGTTGTGGCGTTATAAAATTCGCTGCTTCGAATCTTCGTCCATTAGATCCCGGTGACCGAAACTCAGCCGTATGCCTTGCGGACTATGAGGATTTCCACTTACTGTGCATCAAAAATTAAACTGTATCGTTTGGTCTTATNTTGCTGACCTGTTGCTTTTGCCCGTGTCATTCTATCCCCAAGTCCATTGAGGCACGATAATTGGTATAACTATCGGATGTTGTTGCAATTTGAGATGAATTTCGATCACTGTAGGAAATTGGGAAATTCCATATATATATATATATATATATATATATATATATATTCACACACGTCTGA